CAAACAAACAAACAAACAATCAAATACCAACGAAATTATGTTATCAGATTCATGTTGGTAAACAACGTATCTTTGAATAAAACAAAATCTTGGCCAGAGGTGTCGTTAGGTGCTTAAAACATTCGGGATTGGGGGCCCATAGGCGCGAGAATTTTGGGCGTTTCATAATGATATCGATCATGGTTTTCTATTCTGACTTTTCAAGACACCAACTGGGGATTCGGGGCACTGTAGTATGGCGACCACGAAGTTATTATATACAGGGTTTCAACTAAAAAATTAACCACGCGAAAAATAAAATAATAGAAATATCGCAATTAATAACTGCTGTGATTTCTTAATTATTTTAGAAGTAAAATGAGTGTATTCACCCAGTTTTGTTCGTCAGTTCTTTATGAGTGGGACCATGCGTGGCCCAGAGGTTAGGTTGCTTGTACTGCGAAAATGAGGGTTCATAGCTAACGTCCGTTGCTGAAAAAGTGCTCTCCGCAATTGGGGGCTATGAGAGCGCTATAAGAGTGGCTGTCAGTGCTGTTTAATAAGTTAGCTTCCTTCTAGTCTACAAGTTGAAAATTAGAGACATGGCTATGCGTAGATATTCTTTGCGTAGCTTTGTGTGAAAATTCTTAACAGAAAAATTAATAAGATGAATATTCTGACAGGCAAATAAATAAATAAATAACTTACTTAATAAGACGTAATATGTGTGGATTCGCACCTTTAGCGAACAGTTCGAAAACAAGTCGATTATTTGAGAGTTTTTTTTTAATTTGGCGCAAAGCTACACGAGGGCTATCTGCACTGGCCGTCCCTAATTTAGCAGTGTAAGACTAGAGGGAAGGCAGCTAGTCATCACCACCCACCGCCAACTCTTGGGCTACTCTTTTACCAACGAATAGTGGGATTGACCGTCACTTTATAACGCCCCCACGGCTGAAAGGGCGAGCATGTTTGGTGGGACGGGAATTCGAACCCGCGACCCAATGATTGCGAGTCGAGCGCCCTAACCACCTGGCCATGCCGGGCCATATTATTTGAAGGTTAAGTCACGCAACATATAATCTCTATATGTAAAAACTGTACCAGTATTTGTTATAATCGATAAGAAAAAATATTGCATTGACTGACCTTAATTTAATATAGTATCAAAGGTCAGCTTAACTATTCAAATACTTATCAGCAACACAAGCTATTGATGTAGAAATAGGTACATAGATCAAACTGTTAAATCGAGAATGGAAAATATACAAAACCAAAACTGCATTTGTCAGGAAAATTACGAGGGGGGGGGGGCTGTAATCTTTGTAATCCAAAGCTAGGTTTAAAGCTCGGAAATGTTTTCTCCTCCGAAGTTTTGGAGGGGGAGGGAGAATCTTGAAACCGATCCCCCAGACTACGTCTATGCGTTTTGAGCTGGTCGTATAAAGATTTCTTTGCCCAGAACAAAATAATTAGATAAAAAAAAACCTTTTTAGGGTATATTTTTGTTTTATTTTTAAGACAATAAACAATTCGTTTTTTGTTGTTTTTTTTCAAAATTTCATCAAACTTTTGGATTGAACTTTTGTAAAGTTGCACCATATCTTTCATAATATTTGGGTCTGAGGTTTCTATATCACTTGTCTTCTGCAAAAATCTCAGCTTTTCTTTTAGCTAGATAAGCGTTTTCCAAACTCTACACTCGCATTACATTTCCCATGACCTTTCTAGACTTATTTAGGTCTAAAATACGCATGCGCAGTTCACTGAAAACCATATGCTAATCATTGTGCGTACACGCATTCAAATGTTTCTGAATATTCAGCTAAGTTTACCTTCATTACAACGTTACATTTACTTTACAATAACTTAGCTTTGGTTCGTTTAATAGACTGCTATAAACACCTTTTAACTATTTTTTTTTCATCAGTAAGGGTTTTATTCTTCGTTTTTGTGAGTTTTTTTTATTTCAACTCCTGAACCCGTGTCATACACTAAACGCTCATAACTGTTTCGTGCTCTGTACACTATTATATACAAGACAAGTTAAAAATTACTTTGACACTACTTTGATATGTTCGTGTTACACTCGTACTTCGTTTTCCCTTCAACACCATAAAAATTGTATTCTTTCTTTGTTGGGTTTGTAAAGTGCAGAACGTGCCTGAACATGGAATCTTACACTATTTTGTGCAACAGGAATACGGTCTGGCCAACCCTCTAATTTTCGTATCTTCTGGCCAAACACAATTGAGCGATGAGTTCTTTTTTTTTGCAGTAAAGTGTGTTTCTTGAGATTAACTGATCGAGCCCTTTATCGGAGTACATTTTTTTTTTGTAACTGAAATATTATAAACTGTGATACCTTTTTATAGCCCACTCAATCACCCGAATTCGGACTCATCGACTTGCATGCTGGATGTTAAAATATTCCAAAAATATGTCTTGGAAATAAAGCAAATTTTAATGTGTAACTCACGTGCTTTATTGGTGAACAATTCTATGAAAGCTTGGAAAATACTCGTTTTCTCTTGATGTACTGTGTCAAGTGTTTTAAGTCAAAACATAAGTATTTTTTCATTGAAATTAAAGCGACCAGTAACAAACATTGTATCATTCATTGAAATATTATAATAGCCAATGAAATACATTGTAAATATTATATTAGCCAATGAAATACATTGTAAATATTATAATAGCCAATGAAATACATTGTAAATATTATGATAGCCAATGAAATACATTGTACTTACCAAAGGTTCGTCTGAGGCACTTTTTAATTTTTTTGTGAGCCTTTCCCTTAGGAAAATAAACTTGTCATTCTCGTCAGTTGAAGGCAACGTTCCCAGCAGGCCTTGCATATAATTGGGAATATGACCATATGTATCAGCTAGTGCCTGTCCACCCTATAAGATTCAAATATTAACAATAAGTTTTTCATCCATTTCGAGATTATCATCTCTACTTGGTAGCAATGGCGATGGTCAGAGGAGTTAGACAATGGTTTAGTGATGGATTGGGAAAGAAACATTATACATGTAACAGTATCGTTTTAATGATTTTCTTTCTTCTTCTTTGGGATGAGTGAGTAGCTCTCTGGATAGCCGTTTTTCAAAACGTCTTGTTATAAATGTTTACGATGTGAAGTAGGGGTACTTGTTTGTTATCGATGGGATGAGTGAGTAGCTCTCTGGATAGCCGTTTTTCAAAACGTCATGTTATAAATGTTTAAGATGTGAAGTAGGGGTACTTGTTTGTTATCGATGGGATGAGTGGGCCCATCGATAACAAACAAGTACCCCTACTTCACATCTTAAACATTTATAACAAGACGTTTTGAAAAACGGCTATCCAGAGAGCTAACTGAATAACTGTCACACCAAACCTGATTGTTACATGTCACCACAGAACGACTGAATAACAGTGTCATATCAAACCCGATTGCTACATGTCATTACAGAACGACTGAATAACAGTGTCATATCAAACCCGATTGTTACATGTCACCACAGAACGACTGAATAACTGTCACAACAAACCATCGTGTTACAGGTCGCCACACAACAGTTCACATCAAACCCGAAAGTTACAGCGCCATAGGCGGTTTTTTTTCTCATGTATCTTCGTGTCACCAGAAAACCCAGCTGTACACATCATAAGCGAGAAGATGAATAATGGATATGAAAAAGGTTTTATAACTTAAAAGTCACTCAAAATATCTTGAATCTCTGTGGAAAACACCAAACCCGATTGTTACAGGTCACTACAGAACCACTGAATAACAGTGTCTCACCAAACCCGATTGTTACATGTCACTACAGAACCACTGAATAACTGTCACACCAAACCCGATTGTTACATGTCACCACAGAACCACTGAATAACAGTGTCACACCAAACCTGGTTGTTACATGTCACCACAGAACGACTGAATAACAGTGTCTCACCAAACCCGATTGTTACATGTCACCACAGAACGACTGAATAACAGTGTCTCACCAAACCCGATTGTTACATGTCACCACAGAACGACTGAATAACAGTGTCACACCAAACCTGATTGTTACATGTCACCACAGAACGACTGAATAACAGTGTAATATCAAACCCGATTGTTACATGTCACCACAGAACGAGACACTGTTATTCAGTGGTTCTGTAGTAACCTGTAACAATCGGGTTTGGTGTGACACTGTTATTTAGTGGTTCTGTGGTGACATGTAACAATCGGGTTTGGTGTGACAGTTATTCAGTCGTTCTGTGGTGACATGTAACAATCAGGTTTGGTGTGACACTGTTATTTAGTCGTTCTGTAGTGACCTGTAAAAATTGGGTTTGTGTAATATGTTATTCAGCTGTTGTGTAACAACCTGTAACAATTGGATTTGGTGTGACACTGTTTTCACTCACGTTGTGTGTACAGCTGCGTATTCTAGTGACACGAAGATACACGAGAAAAAACCCCTACTCTGAGGAACCTACAGATCTAGATATCTGTCATAAGTGGTTATATTTTATAATCCTCACCCTCAAATTTATATGTGTATGTATATATGAAGAAAAGAATTTCTCCTCAATTGATGTTGAATAACTACATCTAAATTACGTCATAATTTAAAAAACATTAAATTGAACGTAAGACGTTTTAAATTAGGCTTGCGTGTCGTACCAGTCCATTTCTGATGACTTTTCTTGAAAGAAATATAGTTAAAACCCACCACAAGAGTTTACAACTCACTTAAAATATTGATATATGATAGCAAAACATTGCCGATAAAAAAAACAACATAAAAATCAACCAAATGAAAAATATACACGTAAAGCAGTGATTGCCTACAAAATTTAAAATTAACGTATTTAATATTTTAAGTGTAACAATCTTATCCCTGATACTAGATTATATATAAATTTATAGCCAAACTATGATGTAGTTCAGACATTCCCAACCTGGGGTACATTTGCACTTCTCAGGGGGTACATAGGGGTCTGAGAGTATAACCAGGGTTCACACTTTACATGGTGTTTTAATCTACAGTCAGACAAAGTGGCTCACATAAATATACGCTGAGTTCAATTTATCGATGTTATTAATACTATAAGATCCTTATACAGTCCACATATACAGATTTCATAATAAAATAATATAAAATCAATATAATTTTATCAATTTTTGATCCTTAATTGTTAGGGGTACATGGGAACCTGTCAGAATGCCCCAGGGCCAAGGGGTACAGAGGAACAAAAAGGTTGGAAACCCCTGACGTAATTGTTCCATAAGTATAAAAAAAATTAATGGAAGGAGGTCTTTCCAAAGAAACCAACATTTTGTAATGCACAAATCGTAATTGAAGAGCAAATAGTGTTACGACAGCAGAAGTCGCTTGACGCTGATAACACGTCATAAGTTTCTAGAAGGATCATGACTTTTCCTGACAACTCTAGTCTTTTCCAGGCGCCCTCTATTTTAGTATATAAGCCCGACAAATAATTGGAGGTAGACAAATATAGAGACAGATAATTGAGTCAGGCGAGCGGTAGTGACCGTAAGTAAAGTG